ACATAATTATTATTGAATACACTTAATACACATCAAATTGTTATGTACTTTATTTATTTGAAAACTCAAAAATGTGACTAAACAGATGACAAATAAGAAACTTACTTAGTGAGGTTGTTTATCTTTTGTGAAAGTTACGAGATTTACTATTGCAAGTTTGGATTAACAACTTTTTTTAAAAAAGCAAGGCTAAAATAAATGATCAAAATAAAAAAATCTAACCCAATAATCCAACACATATCCTACCCAATAATCATTTCAAAGTAAAGACCCAGACGTGAAAGTAAACCAAATCATCTAATCTATCAACACAAAACAACACAACGAAAGTGTAAAAAAAGGATTTGAACCCACACAAAGCCCTTTAACTGCTTTTGGCATGTTTTAAAGGAATAAAATATAATCTGTATTGTATTAATGAAATTAATGTATTAACTGGAAATCAAATTATTAATATATAACAACAATAAAAATATATATAAAAAAAGTATGTTTACAAAAAAAATTTAACTAAATTTGCATTATTAATAAAGGATTTAGAATTAAGGATCAATAAAGGATTATAGAATACTATAACATAAATACTAATTATAGACGCAGCGTTTTTTTTTATCTACTACTCACTCTCTTCCTTAACATATGTACATATATATATAAAGAGGTGGGGGATGCTTTAGCTCTAAATTTGAACCCACACACTGCGAGAGTGGGCCCTCTATTCGTTCTGCAAAATGCTTAAAAAAACATTATAAGATATCTAAATAAAATTAAATAATGACATGAAAAAAGTATAGAAGGTAAAATAGCACTGCAAACCAATTAACCTGTTGCTGATTAAACAATCAAAACCTGTAAGAAAAAATACTTTATGCGTAACAGAAAAAAAATTTTATAACTAAAAAAACAAAAAAATGTTATTCAACCAGAAATTAAAATTATTCTTAGCTTGTTTGCAAAAAAAACTAATTTTTATTCAAACTATTAGCTAATGATCAAAATAGTGAACTTAAAATAATTCAAGCTTATTAAGTTAAAACCATATTTAAACAGTAGACAAAGTAAACAAATAGTCTGTAGTGCACTAAAGTAGAACTAAAGAAATAAAATAACAAGTTTAAAATGTTTTTAATACATAATTCTTGCAGTTAAAAACATAGAAAAATAACTCTACCTTCACAAGATAATGAAGGTAAAGTTGTTAAATTAAACTAAAAATAAATAAAAAATTATTAAGACGTTAATTTTTTTCTTAAGTATGATCCTTTTAATTAAAAACAATAATATTTTCTTGAACAGATAAGGACACATTGACGAAAATCTTATTGCCTATTCTAGATATAGAAGACTTTATTTAAAATTTGACTATTGTACCCCCTCCACTTTGAAACCTATGTCGTTGGACATAAAAATACAAACTGCTATTCAAACCAAACACATTTAATAGCATTTTCATTACATTAAAATAAATACAAACTTTAAAACTTAAGATAAAAATATATTCAAATTTAAAACTTGCAATATATGATAAGCTATGAGACTGTAATTTAAATAACAATCACATAAATATTGTTATTTAATATTTAAATAATTAGGAACTAAAAAAGTAAATTTGAAAGATTTTTTAAATGTAAATTCAACTTAATAAAATCTAACATAAATAACACTGTACTAAATAATTAGAATAATGTAAAACATGTTTAAGTATCTAACAAAAAAAGCAATAAAAAACAAAAAACAACTTACTTATATCTAAAATAAGCTCATCTTCAGCTTCTATAAAATTAACAGCTTGTTGAGAAACATTTTCAAAACATCACTCACAAAACAGAGCATGTTTCATTAACTAAAACATTAAAAAGTCAAACATTAGTAGCTATAAAAGCAGATTGAAAATTACAAAATACAATTATAAATAGAATTCATAAATAAAAGTATATTGAATAATTATAGTTTTACGATAATGATTAAAGAGGTATTGTGGTTTATCCTCCTCCGGCTAGTTGCCATATAGAGGCCACATTACCAAGGTACCGCAAAGACAGGTTCGGCTCCCCAAGGAGCGTCATAGCCCGCTCTACGGACCAAGAGTAAAGTGAGTTTAGGAAGAACGAAGATATGTTAGAGTGAAAAACAGAAGAAGTCATGTTAGAAAGATAAATAGCTGTAAATCTCTAAATTTCCTTATTATGTTAATATTAAATAGTTTTAACTTTAAATTATTTTTACAAACAATAAATTTTATAAAATAATTTAGTTTAAATACAAAATTAGAATTTTTAATTATGTTCTTAATAAAAATATAATTTTTAAACCCCCTTACTGTTTTTAAAAAAAAGTTAAAGTCGCCGCGTGGCAAGTAAATCAGCCTTCCACGCGGTTTTGTTGTTTAAAATGAAAATCAAAAGTTATATAGATTTTATATTATATATGTAAACATGTTTTTTACTAATTTTTCTTGCACAAACTCAATTTATTTGTAAATAAACTTAAAAGGTTTTACTAAAATAACATAACAGGCTTGGTCGGGAAGCGGGAGCGATCGCTCTCGATTGCTGACCACGAAAATAATATTTAGTTGCGAAAAGCTGGCCAGATTTTTTAGTCGTTTTGAGAACATTTGAAAAGTAGTTTGAAAAGTTTAACATATTTGAAGCGAGTCTTCTTAGTAAGATAAACAAATGGAATAATTAAATCATTGAAATACTATAGGAATTAAATTATCAAGATAGAAATCAACTAAAAAGGTTAAAAATACTTAATGACCAGGAAGCGAAACTGCTTCACAATATCGGTAATGATGTTTAGTGAGTGGGCTTTTTAATTTTAATTAGTATTTAAAGCAGAAAAAAGAATAACGAGTTTTAAGAATGGCAACTTGAGCGAAAATAATTAGAGTTAGTAAACCAATATCTAGAAACTTTTCTTTATATCTATTTATTTGCTATTATATATTTGTGTTCTGTCGTGACCTCAGGCGCGATGCTTGTTCATCCGCGAGTTACTTTGTATGCGTTGTTTATGTAACAAACATATAAACTTCTTATATGTTTGTTACATAATTAGTTTTAACTTTAACGATTATAACTTCATTGAAAACGCAATTATTTATGTAAGTCTTTGTTTAAATCATAAAATTGCTTTAAAAGATATGTTACCATAAAAAACAAATACACAAATTTACATTTGCATAAAGAATACAATCTCTTTTAAAATAAAAAATAAAAATATACTCATAAAATCTATGATTTATAATAAACTTTTAAAACTTTAACAATTTAATTAATATATATTTAAAACATTTATTTTCGTAAACAAATAATATATATTCTTGAAACAATGCTATCGTGGATAATACAATTTCAAAAACATTTTAGCAGAATACTCTGAAACTTTATTTCGCTTAATAAGCGTATTTTTTGAACCAATAGAATAAGTTTGTTTGTTAATTTGGCGGGTTTTTAGTGTTCGCAAATATTCTTTTTATTCTTTCGCACAATGATATTTCGAGAACATTCAAGTTTTTTATGTTTCCATGTATGTCCGTAAAACAAAAATTCTTTGTTTCGTACATAAACTTAAATGTTCTCAAAACGACTAAAAAACCTGGCCAGTTTTACGCATCTAAATATAATTTCCGTAGTCAGTATTCGAGAGTGATCGCTCCCGCTTCCCGACCAAGCCTGCATAAGTATCTCAATAATGACACATGCGCAAAAAAAAAAAAAAAAAAAGTCACCGTTAGTAGGACTCGAACTGCGGCTATAATGTTTCAAGGCCCAGCGCGCTATCCACTCAACTACACTGACACGTTCCACAATAGATATTCAAAGTTATATAAAAATTATTTTTAACAGATATAAATGCAAAAGATCAGAAATCAAGCTGAGGTTGACGAAATGCAATTCTTAAGTGAAAATCAAACTGTAGAACTTGATATATGTTTAAGCATGTTTTAACATTACATAACATGAAATCTAGGTACGTACGATATAAGTTTCACGTTTGCTCACGTTTTCTTATAAAGCAAAGGTGAGACTCTTTCTCGTCACTACCTTGGATGCAATGGTTGCCAAGAGTATCCTATCAAACAGGCTCGAAAGCGCACTATTAAGTCCAGTATTATTATAAAGATATAATTTTGCTATTATAACAATTATTGCTCTTTACTCGGACTATGAAGATAACTAGAACTAAGACTTTGTTTTTTGTCAGTCATTTTTTTTAGTATTACTATAATAATTATTCTGTTATATAATTTTGCTATTATAACAATTTTCTGATTTTTTTGCTAATTAAGATTAAGATTTCACTTAGAATTTAATAATATTGATTACAAAAACATTGTTTACAAATTTTTAAATTCTGTTTAATTCACAGTTAATTTGAGTAAAGGTTCTATCTCCATGATAATTGTAAAATTTGTCCCAAAATGTTACTAATTTTAAAAAATTTGAATTATCTGATAGTTTGAATTATCTGATAGTTATCATTATCTGATAGTTTACACAATCATAAAAAGCATTTTGTATTAATTAAAAAAGAATTTTAATTGGATTCATGTTTATAAATTTCAAAAATTCCATTCAACTCGCAATTAATTTAAGCAAAGGTTCTATCTCCATGATGACTTGTATAATTTGTGCCATACTCTCTTCAATGTTAATAATTTCAAAAAAGTTGAATTATTCCTATCATGTTTGATAGTTCTAATTGATCAAAAAACATTAACACTAACAAAAAATGAAATTGCTGATTTATGCTTAATGCTTAAACTTTGTTTTTGTTCTCCTACAAAACTACCCAAAATGAAGATAGAACCTCTGCCCTCTAAGGCGACGATGTATATATTAAATATATATAATAAATACAAAATAGTATACAAGTTTTTTTAATATATTTTCTGATTTTTTTGGGATGTGTAATGAATTCATGGACAGATAAAATTGATTATTTTATTCCAGGGAACTCACGGACAGATAAATTTGATTTTTTTGTTCCAGGGAATTCAAGGTACAGAAGTTGCAAAGGAAGCTTCTGACATTATACTTACAGATGATAATTTCCAAAGTATTGTCAAGGCAGTAATGTGGGGAAGAAATGTATATGATAGCATTTCCAAGTTCATTCAGTTTCAGTTGACTGTAAATCTTACTGCTATATTTGTTTCTATTATTGGATCTACAATGCTCTCTGTAAGCTTTTATTTACTTACATTTTTATTTCTCTATGTTATATTTGTTTCTCATACAATTATTAATTTTTGCAAAATTGTATTATTTAAGGTAAGTCCGCTCAGTGCAATACAACTACTTTGGGTAAATTTGATTATGGACTCTTTTGCCTCATTGGCTCTTGCAACTGAAGATCCAACAGATGCTCTTTTGGAAAGAAAACCTTATGGTCGTACTAAACCTTTAATTTCTCGCTCCATGTTTCGATTTATACTTGGTCATGGTTTATACCAGCTTATTGTCATGTTGGTGTTAATATTTTATGGTCATGTGTTGTTCGAAATTCCAAATGGTTTCAAAATTAAGTACCCATCACAACATTTGACTATTTTGTTTAATGTTTTTGTTATGATGCAAATATTCAATGAAATCAATGCCAGGATGGTTCATGGTGAACGCAATGTTTTCAAAAACATATTATCTAGCAAGCTGTTTATTTTCATTGTTGTCGGTACTTTCATTGCTCAAGTAAGTTTGTTTTTTTTAATGACTATTAGTAAGTAATGCATTCAATACTCTAAATTAGAATTACTTTACACGCTTTTGAGATATTTTTCGTATATGCAACCTACATAATATTGCATAAATCGAAATATGTAACATAGAATTTAATGAATAATTAGTTAATTAACTTTTATAATTGTTTTAAACTGTTTCAATATTCTTATTAGCATTTAATTAAAGCATTTTTTAAACTAACTACTAAACTGTTGACACTTGTTAACATTTTTTAAACTAAACTGTTGCTTATCTGATAAATATGTGTTTGTAATAAAGAAGGATTTTTATTTTCTAATTGTCTGTTTGTGTGTGTGTGTTTTTTTGACATTTTATCTAAAATATTTAGAAGCACAAGAATATTTATTGGCTAAGTTAGCATTATGTTTTAAATAAGTATTGTAAGTAAACATTGTAAATGTTTTAAATAACAAAACTCTTTTTTTTTTTTGAAAATTATAGTTAAATTGGGTAAAAATTCTTCCTTTGATAACCATAATACTATCTCCTAAACCTAATATTTCATGATATCATATAGGAATCCCTAACCTCAATTAAATGTTGCACAATAGCTAATTATTGCATAATTGTAAAAACTGTTAATTTTTTTTTCAGATTAATTTTTTAAACCTTTTACTAAAAGGTAGAGACCTTTAACATTTAAAAGTGGCACCTTTAACATCTGATTATTTTTTGTCTTAAACTGCTATTGATAGTTTGTTAATTGAAGTTTAACATTTGATATATCTGTGTACTGTCTGATATCAGTTTTTTTTGTTTTTACATTTTTTTGCTGTGATAAATGTCTTTCTGTTTATGTGTATATATGTTTAAAAATATAATAGTGTCATAGAGATATGGCAAAAAAATAATAATTTTATGTTTCACAATTTATGTTGCAGGGTTACTTTGAATAGTAGTAAGAGATTGCCCGGTATTTGCTCATTTTCATTTTCAACCAAATTTTCAACCATAAATTAATATTAATATTGAGGTTAACATTGAACCATGTTGTATATAATTTATTTAGATAAGAAATAATTTTTTATTTTAAAAAAATTGATTTTTTAAAATAAGTGTTAATTTTTATTTCTTGTTATGAAATGTTACGAAAAATTATTGCATGACGTCACGTGATATTCAGATTGATCTTATGCTCTGCTCAGTGCGCATGCGCTAGATTTTTTATTTGCTTGTAGATGCTGTAGAATATGAAGAAGCTGTTACAGTAGTATTTGTATTAGCATTGCCAGAAGTAGCTGATACGCATATATTCACATTTACATTAGAGTTTTGCATTTTTTATATATTTAAGATAATTATTTATAAACTTTTCAATTCTGTATTATTAACCCATGAGTTAAAAGTATCAGGATACCCATACCACTTTACTAATGATTTATTACCTTGTTTTTTAATAACCTTTTCAATTCTAAATATCTCTTGACTTGTTTTTTGAAGTTCTTGTTCATAAAAAGTACCTTGTATTTCTTCATTATTGTAATCAGTTATTTTATAAGTGGGTGGATCTGTGTATTGAACTTGTGATATAGTAAATACTTCTTCAGTCCATCTTGGTGTGTATCCTTTTTCAAATGCTCCTTTCTTTTTAGTTATTCTCACTTTATCACCTATTGAAAACTTGGGTTTGATAGGATTAGATATCACTTTACCATTTAGATTCAGCCAAACAATGTTCTCATTCTTTTTATCGCTTGCTTCAGCTGGAGTCATTTTAATTGAAGAATGCTTTGTGTTGTTGTATTGATATACCATTTCATTTAAAACATCAATGTATTTTCTAGTAGAATTAGCTGAAAAGTATTTGAACATTTTTTCTTTCATTGTTCTATTCCATCGTTCAACAACGCAACTTTTTTCTTCATTTTCAGTTGAATAGAGATGAACACCTAATGCTTTAACATGTTTGTTATAAAATTCCAAACCTTTATCAACCCATAATTTATCACATTTCCTAATTTTAAAGATTTTATTCAATGCATTAGCAACTTCAATTCCTGTCTTACTTTTCAATGGGATAATCCATCCATACTTTGAAAATATATCAATAACCATTAATAAATATTTTATACCATTATTAAATTTAGAATAAGCTTGCATGTCAACTAAATCAGCAGCCCATATTTCATCTATTCCATTTGCAATTACTTTTCTTTTTCTAAAATGTTTTATAACAGGTTTATGAAGTTCATTTGCAAGTTCATCAGTCCATTTCAGGTCGTTTGCTTTTTTCCTGTGCGCTGGTAGTTTTTTTGACATAATTCTTTAATACTCATTGGTTCTTTATTTCCCATGCCAAACCGTACTTTAGCAGATATGATAGGTTTTATAATCTTTCTTTCCAATTTTTCACGTGGTGTAGGATTAGGTATAGTATCCATTTGTTCAAGCATCATTTTATCAGCTAAATTTCTATGCTCTTTGTCTGGATAATGCTTATAAGCAAGATCATGAATATAAGCTGCTTTATCAACTTTATCTACAGGCATGCTCCATTCTTTAGGCATTTCAGTAGAAGTTAATCTTTCATCTAAATTAGTGCCAGGTCCTGCAAAGTTCATACCTGGTAAATGCATTTCACCTTTAAACTTTTGAAAAGGTAATTTTTTATTCTTTGTAAAATTATTAATAGATTCCACTAAATCACCACCTTTAGTTCCTTTTGTAAATTGAGTTTTTGTTGTTCCACATAGTGCACAATTTCCACGAAGCATATTTCTTTTGTTTTTACTCACAGCATGTTGTAAGTTGAGTGTATCTGTTTTGTTTTTACATTTAACGCAATACATTTTTTATATATGTATTTTAATTTATTTAATTTAAAAAAATTATTTATATAAGAAAATGGAAGTATTAGATTTGTCATATAATGTAAATAAAAATAATCGTAATAATAATGAGTTATTACCAAAAAGTATAAGAGGACTTATAGTTGGGAAGTCTGGTTGTGGAAAAACAAATTTATTATTGAATTTACTTATAAGACCTGATTGGTTGGACTATAATAATTTACAAGTTTTTGGAAAATCTCTTTTTCAACCTGAATATAAAATATTAAAAAGTTCTTTTGAAAAAAAAGTACCAAAAGAAGATATTCTTAAAATATTTAAGTTACAAGATAAAATAGATAAGATGGATATCAGCCCTGATCTTGTAATTGAAGTCCATTCAAAAAATTTAAAAAATAAAATAGATATGGAGTGTCAGTTTTATGAAACAGCAGATGATGTACCAGAACCTGAAGATCTTGATCTTACTAAAAATAATTTAATGATATTCGATGATTTACAATTAACAAAGCAAAACAAGTGTGAAAAGTACTATATAAGAGGAAGGCATAGTAATGTAGATTGTTTTTATTTAGCGCAAAATTATTTTATGCTACCAAGGAAAACAATAAGAGAAAATGCAAATTTTATATGCTTGTTTAAACAAGATTCAAAAAATGTAAATCATATTTATAATGATCATGTTTCAAATGATATGTCAAAAGAAGAGTTTAAAAACTTTTGTAAAATAGTTTGGTCAAAACCACATAAATTTATTGTTATTGATTTATCATCAGATGTGAAAAATGGAAAATATAGAAATGGTTTTGATCGTTTTTATTTTCCTTTATCTGTATTAAATGGTAGATCCTGAAAGGATCCAACGAAGTCTTGGTTCTTTCAGAACCTATGCTAAATGAAATATATATTTTAATAAATATATATTTAACTAAAGAATCAAACCTAATAATGGGATATTTTTAAATGGTGAATTTTCACCTAATATTAAACCTTTTCCTACTTTTTTATATTGTTTATCGTTTCCAGTTCCTTTTCCATAATAGTAGTAATACCCATTTCCTAAATACCTTCCTTTTTTCCATTCATCTATTAGTAATCCTTTTCCTACTTTTCTAGCTTTAATAGATCTTTTATTATCTTTAATATACAAAACACCTTTTCCAGCAATTTTATTAACTATAGCATTTCCAGCAGCTGCAGCTGTTCCAGCTAATAATGCTGTTGCAGTAGTTTTTGCAATTACTGGAGCAGCACTTGCTAAAAAACTTAAAAGTAAAGGTAGAAATCCACCTTCCACTTTAGAATTATGCATGAGATTTTCTTCATTTAATTCAATTGTTATACCTTTTTTATTTTTAAATGCATTAATTACTTTCTCTAATTGTTTGTGTGTTAGAGCTACTACATCTTTAGCATTTTTATCACTTAGATTTTTAAAAGTTAATTTTATAGTAATTTTTTTTGAATCATTCTCAAGTTCTTTCTTGATTTTCTTCTTTTGATAATCTGAAATTTTAAATTTAATATTTTTATAATCTGTCATTTTTATATATGCACAATTTTTTTAATTTATTTTAATTCCTTTGAATCTACATAAATCTTGATATCTTAAGATATCTAAATCTATTTTTTATATTTTAAAATGTTTATCAATTCTTTTAGAAGTGATACTTGTTCTTTTAAAATAGATTCTTGTTCGCATTTAGAAGTTCGTTCTCTTATATGAAATTTCATTGTTATTCTTTCTCCTTGCACATCAATTGGATTTTCATCTTGATCAATTAACGAAGTTTCCATATCACGAATATCTCCTCTTAGAGATATAGGTAAGTAAATGGGAACATTGGGTTTTTCTACAAGTTTAGCTCCAGGAGCTACAGAGGGGTAAAACGTATAAATAATATTGCTAGGTGAATTATCTAAATAAGATCCTGATATAATACTATTTTTTACATGTATAGTATTAATATGATTTATATCTAATACTTTTACAGATTCATAAACACCTGCAGTATATATTTTACTTTCAAAACCTAAAAGATTTCTGATTGAATTTTCAATTGTAAAATCAACTGCAAAATTTGTTTCAATACCCATTGTAACTTTAAATGTTATTGTACTTCCTACAAAAGTAATTGAATTCAAAGGAAAATGAGAAGC